TCGGCGCTTAAATAATACCAGTAAAATAAAATAGACTTAAAATAAAACCAAAAATTCGAGCGCCCTCCAATAGCTGACTATTCTTCTTCAGGAGAACAAAAGAGAATAGTCAACTATTCGAAAGCGCTCGAATTTTGGGTCTTATTTTAAGTCTATTTTATTTTACTGTTATTATTTAAGCGCCGAAAGTTACGTTAGACTAGTCCTGACATAGGTTAATTAGACTAACTCCTCTAAGACCGTAACGTATTTACTCACTGTACTGAGTGTTCATTGCACAATGATAGGCTTAACAAACCGATTTTTTAAGTTAAGCATTTATATATGTAACGTCTTTACCATAAAATCAGTTGTAAATTGCAAAACGTAAATTCTATATTTCATGTATATTAAAATACTACATCCAAAAGTGGCACATAATAGTTAAAAAGATGTTTACCTTCCCACTGATTACCCATCGTTGCCATCTCATATGAGCAGTATTATACATCTAGCGCTACCTGGACAAAAACTATAAAATAAAACATTTGTTATATTTTTGTTTTCTAATTGCTGAATAAAATGCATTTTGAACCTTTTTTTATTAAACCAGGAAACATGGTGAGGATTAGCTACAAATATTAATTTTAGAAAAAAAGTTGTACTCTTTGGGCTCGCTAAGTAACCTGATAAGTTGTACAACTTAGACAAATGAACGTCTATTTCTTTTATTTTTTGTCTTCTATCTATTTTTCTTACTATTTATTTCGCTAGATTCGATCCAGCATTCTTTAGATTATTTCATAAAAATACTATTTCATATTATAAGCTTGTATTAGCAATATACGAAAATGTTCAATCTCATAGTAAAATATAACAATACAATTTTGTATAAAACAAGTTTTTTACTTAGCCAATAATTACGGTAGGAACTTATTAAATTCATTTTAGTAAGTTCGAGTAAAATATAATATTTACTCTACAACTATATTGTAATTACCACAAACAAACCCCCAGCATGTGCGTGTTTACTTCCATTGATAAAGAATGAAATAATTTGTGTACGTGCATTACCAATTTAATGTAGTTCACATCATAACAATTATTGTTAATTCAATTGGATAATATAAATTGCATCTCAACCATTAATGTGTCTGTCGCATCCCATTCGGGATGATGAGTATTGATATTAGGTGAAAAACTTCATTGGCGCTGGATACAGCAGGTATATTGTAGATGACATGTTGTTATACATTCTTCCTTACTGTAATTTATATATTCTTAGAATTCATTGTCAAATTTCAAAGAATTTCAATAAACCAGCATTCAGATATGTTGTTTTAGATGTGATGCCCGGCCAACAAAAAAGGGATGTTTACTGTAACTAAACTCTATATAGCATCATATAGAGTTCAGAGATTAGAGTTAATTATATAGGTAACCATCACACTCATTCTGGAGTTATTATAAATCAGAGCCCACCGTTAAGTACTAGAGACTAAGGGTCGTTGAATAAGTTTTTTATTGTTTAATCATTTCATTAGGTTTACGCCTGCGGCTTTAAGTCATATACAGGCTAAAGACTGATTTATATTGGTATAAACAGTTAATTTTGACAAACTAGTTATAAGAAACAGGATCGTCTACTTTTAGGTGTGGTATTCAGGTAAATAGATACTCAACAGGAAGCCAAACGTTTCCACAGAAATTCAAGTTCAGGAAATGTTATGTAAAAAATTGCTTGAACAGGGACAACAATAGAAAAACAAATACACAAGTGATAAATAAAACAATATTTATTTTCAGATATGCTTTGTTTATATACTTCAATTGCTGGTTGGCTTGCTATTTTGCGTCGCGATTTCACTAGCTTCCGTGATGGAGGTTTGCTTAAACTCTACAGAGGACAGAGACATGAATAATAATGTTATACCACTTTTAATTGAAGCAAAAGAGTCATAGTGCAGAATCCCATAATCTATAATCACCTTATTTCAAGGACTAATCCACATGATATATTCAAGAGAAAGTACCTCTAACTGATATCAACTTGTACAAGTATCTGTAACATTCTTTGAGATGAGCTTGTCCCACCTCGGGATGTCAACAATGACACAGAATCAGATTGGTACATACTTTTATGAGATAGCCATTGCCATACATAACCCATACTTAAACAAAATGATTTGTACATGTTTACGACCTTTCAACAACTGTCTTAGAAGGATGTCATAACTACATTTAGAACGTTTCCATGGTTTCGAAAATTTTCTTGAATAAATATTGCTACAAATATATTCTACACTAGTCATTGAAGGGTGAAATTATCATTTATTTCAACTGCATCATGTAATGTATCATAATTCTAATTAATTATAAAAGCTTGTTATTAATTTCGCACAAAGCTACACGAGGGCTATCTGTGCTAGCCGTCCCTAATTTAGCAGTGTAAAACTAGAGGGAAGGTAGCTAGTCCTCACCACCTACCGCCAACTCTTTTACCAACGAATAGTGGGACTGACCGTAAATTTATAATGCCCCCACATCTGAAAAGAGCGAGCATCTTTGGTGTGACGGTGATTCGAACCCGCAGATTGCTAGTCGAACGCCCTGGCCATGCCGGGCTTTGGTAAAAGCAAAATGACTTGTTACAGCATTGGGGGAGGGAACTTAAATCTTAGATGACATTACAAATGTGTTAATATCCCCATGTTGTAATTATATACCGAGAAAAATGATTGCATTCAAATTTATTTTTATTGTATACAGAAAAACAACAACTTTGCCTCCTGTTTAAAACATTTAATAAATACACAAACACATGCGCTAGTTTTCACATGGACAATAAAACTGTTAAACATCAGTGCAGTTTGAAGTTTACTAAATAAAGATAGACATCATCGGAATTATTTGTCATATTTATGAATCCACAGCTGTTATGCGTTTCTAATTATTAGTAAAGCAACTATTTTTAGCAGTAGCCTAAGTAGGAGCTGGGCAACTGTCTTGGGCTCAGTCCAGAAAAGGACGCAAAGATCTAGATATTTTAAAAGATACTTGAGAATTAAATCTTATAAAATCATTTGGGGAAATTTTCCCATATATTTTTATTATCACAAACGGCATTGTTTTTGGTTTATGATTGTGCATTGCAAAGTGTGTGAAGGGGAATGCAGTTCATCATACTTGCCCCGGGCGTACAAATACCTAATTACATATATTATTTATGTATGATCTGCTAGAGTTCATAGACTAAGTTGTCACATTTAAATACTGCTTTATTTTGGTAGAATTAGATTTAAAATACGTACATAAATATGGTAGCTTGGTGAATTGAATCCCGAGGTCATTGTAGCTCATTTGTTTGGAATTTTGTTATGAAGAATAATTAATAAAACAATTGTACCAAACTAGGCCTACAGTCATTAAGATTGTGAAAATTTTCTCCCGAAATAAACGCAACTGATAATAGCATATTAAACATTATGGATTTCTATCTTTCTTTTTACTAAATAAATTCCAATGGACCATAGTATTACTAGTTGGTCGTGTAATATGTAGATAATGTTGCCAGTTTTATACTGGAACGAGGAACCACAAATGAGCTTCACACCCCTCAGACATTTCATGTGAATTTTTATTTTCTACATAATTTGTTACATATTAAGTAAAACTATGTTTCAAACTCTTTGTGAAGTTTATGAATTTTTTTTATGACAAAATGTAGCAGAAATGATGCTTTATTACACATATATATATATAGAAATAAGCAGGAAACCTTTAATACATCTTACATCAATACAGAAAAAAATTTATAACTTGTACTAAAGTGTTTTAAAGTTGAGTTTCTGATTGATGTTAATCTTTGAATATGGAATGTTTTTCAGTGTAATACCTTACAAACACTTGTAAGCAAATAAGTGAGAAAAGAAAAGCAGATGAAAAGTTTTACAGTTTTCATGCAACTCAGTCAGAATAAGGAACAAAATGGCTTAAAAATCATTCATAACACCGCATATGACAAAAATTTGAGTCATGTTGAAAAAAAACAGAACACAATGAATAAAAAATATATTGTTGTCATTAGCACAGTTTTCCACAACTCTTTTGTATAGTTAAAAGAAATTATTGGTACTGTAGAAAAACTGGTAGTACTGATCCATTCCTGTTTGTTATGTCTCGCTATCAAGGATTTCAGTGACAACTTTGTGTTTATTCACCTTGTAACGGTTTTTTATCAGTTTCATACAATATAGGAACAGCTTCTAGCATGTTGGGGATAAAAATTGTTACTACGTTGCATTCTTAATTTTTTTTTTTTTCAAACCATTAAAAATGAATTTATCCAAGTACTTGTTAAGTCAATTGCCTTTGAAACAACATAAAAACAAGTGTCAAAGGTCACTACTACTATATGAAAAGAGAACAATTAGAGTCATTGGCAAGGAGGAGTTTCCTTTTACCTGTCTTAATGTTAACATTTGTTTGGAGTCAGCAAGTCAATAATTATAATAATGCTTTATAATTGAAAAATAAAAGATACTGATCAGCATATTAACAAAGTTCCACATAATTATACCTGTTCCAGAAAAATAAATAATCGCTACACGATGGACGTAATAAGATAAAAAAACAGAGCTCAGAAGAGTACGTATTTCTTAAAATTATATTTATTTTTGTTCAAATTTAATTCTATTCAATTAAAAACACCAAAGGAGCAAATAATAATTAACTTAGCAAAGCCAAAAATTGGCAATTAAGTCATTAAAGTTATTCTTAGGAATGATTTTTTTTATACCGTCTTTTACAAATAATACTGTTGTATTTAACAATTAAAAATCTGCATTAATACAAAAATTAAAATTTATGGCCTGAATCATTATCATACATTTTCATACCCTATTAACCTCAAACCAGGTCTTCTCAGTAAGTATAATTCTACTTCATCATCATAACTTTCATACCCTATTAACCTCAAACCAGATCTATTCAGGAAGTCTAATTTTGTTTCCTTATCATAACTTTTCATATCCTATTAACCTCAAACCAGGTCTTCTCAGTAAGTCAAATTTTACTTCCTTAAAGTTTCTAGTACTTCAGAAAATCTGAGAAAAAAACAAAACAACTATGCATGTATGCTTATTTTTTATTAGTTATAAAATGCTGCCAAGGTTATATTATCCACTTTCTGTTTTCAAAACTGAAACTTTAATTCATACCCTGAAGTAATGATATTTAAAACAACACCCAATAGCAAACATCTTTTAAAAAATGAGTTGTTTTATATAAACATGTTTTAATCTTTCAGTCTTTGCAGCTGTCTTCTAGATCGTTTCTTGTTTTTTTTGTTGGAGGCTCACAGCTGTCTTCACTAGTATCATCCTGTTTCAAAGCTACTAGACCTGTAGCAAATGTAAAAATAACAATCTATACTAGAATATTTTTAATCATCACCACTAACTTCAGGTAGATTACACAAGAATTTTAGATGTAGAGTAAATGAAAAACAAACATAGACCTTTGATATTTAATCTTCCAAGAAAACATTTTTTTAAAAAGGTTTAGTTTTATTACATTCATGAAAAATAATGTCTTTTATATAATGTCCTAACTTTATACAAAAGAACTAAAAAATAAATATAGACCTGTGACAGACTAAGAAATTTGAATAAATTACAGGTAAGTGATACAACTCTGTGCAAAGTAGGAGAGATTACTGTTTAATGTAGGTAGGCTAAAGTTAAATCCATCTAATATATTAGAAATACAACAAGAGATGTAGAAATAATAGCTGCTTAACACTTTTTACTTTTGTGAATATTTTGAACATGATAAACAATACATATTTAATAATCAACATCATAATATTAATTTTTTTAGTCAACATTTAAAGTTGATCAATAATAGGACATTCAGAATTTGTTCATTCAATAGAACTTAATGATCAGCAAAATATTCAAAACTTTACTGCCAAAGATTGCCAATATACTGTACATTTCATCAGTAATACCAGCGATTTTTCTCTGCTACCAAAAAAGAAAGGTATTGTAAAATAATTCAAAATCCCAGAATTGGCTGAACATTTGGTTTATGTGAAATGTACGCAGAGTTCTGGAATTAAAGGCATCACAAACCCGTGTTTGCTTTTAGTCTAGACTTATAAAAAGACCTATTAAATATATGCCCCGTCAAAAAAATATATCTTGTAATCCATTGTTGGTAACAATAGAAATACCAAAATATACAATTAAACCCAGTACATCAAATACAAGGGTTTTAAGAAACAGCTTTATATTATCTGTGATGACAAAGATGAAGTTTCTGACGAAGTACAAACAGTTTTTCCCAAGGTTTAAAATCCACCATCCTTCTGTGATCAACGATTCTCACAGATCGTAAAAACATGGACTGAAAGTGGAGGTCTCAAGAAAATGTTTACAGTTTAAAAAATAAATAATGCAAGTTTTTCTTTTCAATGTGTTCTTTTTACATACAGTGGCATGGCTGAAATTTTGAGATGACAAATGTAGAAATATTTATATGGTACCATTACTCCCAAGTTTTCTGAATAAAACTACTCTTTTTTTTAAACACGAACTTTACATAATGCCACATAAATAGTATAACAGTTAACATTTTCTTTCCAACATTTTCCTTCCTTCGGAAACCATGTTAATATTTCCTTTTAAACAAGAATAAAATTTCAATGCTGCTAGAATACCTATTTTTAGTAACTTTCTGTAGCTCAGTATTTACATAGCCATTTTTTTTTATAAGTTCTTAGAATTATCTTTGTAAAATGAACCTATATTTAACAACGATAAATCAAGTAGCCATTTTAGGCAAGTACATGACTCACTACCCGGCTTTGGCTTTGAAACAGAATTTATCTACAACAAACTTTCAACCTTACTTGACTGGTCAGGAAACTGGGCGTCACTACTGTTCTCGAGAAAGCTAAGATTTGTGCCATCATCGCTAACAGGCTGAGAAACTTCTCCCTGAGAGTCCTGACTCATTTCAGAAAAAGCTGAAAAAAATTATCACACTTAAAAAGGTAAGAAACTAGGATTAAGTTGTAATAAAGAGTTGAATTTTGTTAAATTATTCTAAAGGCATTTCATAAGAAGCAAAAATAAATTTAGCTTGGAGACACAGGGAATATAGAAACTGATAAAGAAATACTACTAATCTATAATAGTTTTCAGTTAAAATGTGAATTACTATTACTTTTAAGATGTTTTTAACTAAAAGCTTTCTTCAAAACGTCTAGGACTCTAAATACTGTCTGATATTTACAAAATCTAATGAAACTATACCTAGAACATTTCATTTCACTTTGGAAAGAAATACATCATTTTATTGTGTTATAGGTAAGTTTAATCCTGAATTTTAATTAAAAAACATGTAACTTTTGCAAGCCAAGCAAACACCTTTATTGTGTACAGTTAAACACAAAGATGTAAAATTACACTGGTGATTTTACATAATCCCAAATGTTTTTTAACGTCAGAAAGGATCACTGAAATTACAAAGAAACAATTCCATTTCTGAATAACATAAATGCAATAAAAATACAATCAACTCTACATCAAAATAGCCATGTACGGGTCCATAAGAATAACATAACATTTAAGGACAATAAAGGGACCTATTGATTCCATCTAGGAACTAAACTATTAAAAAAACAAAAACCTCAAACCCAGTCCTTTTCATTCAAAATATTTAGCAAGCCTTTCCTTAAACTCCCTTAAGGTATCACTGACCCTTTAAACTGGGCAAATTTGTCATGCTGAGGAAACTCTTAAACATTTCTTATAACCTTCAAGTAGAGCACAAACTCTAAAGTACAATGTCAGAATCTCTGAAAGTACACTTTCAGTGATATATATATAATTAATGCGCTCGACTCGCAATCTGCGGGTCGCGGGTTCGAATCTCCGTCACACCAAACATGCTGGCCCTTTCAGCCATGGGGGCGTTATAATGTGACGGTCAATCCCACTATTCGTTGGTAAAAGAGTAACCCAAGAGTTGGCGGTGGGTGGTGATGACTAGCTGCCTTCCCTCTAGTCTTACACTGCTAAATTAGGGACGGCCAGCGCAGATAGCCCTCGTGTAGCTTTGCGCGAAATTCAAAAACTGACAGACAGACAGTTTATGTACTCAATGGTGCAAATGGTAAGACAAGGGTGCACAAATGTACATTTGGATAGGATAGGAGTTATAATATTACAATCTCTGAAAGTACACTTTCAGTCATATATGTAATATGTATAATTAACGTGGTAGGGATAAAGAGATACATAACATAAACTGCTTTAACACCATAACATTACTTAGGAATGATAAAAACATGTAAAAACTGATACACATGCTCTTTATGAGCATCCTCATAGCTTGAATTTCTTAAAATTCAGAAATCTTTACCAATCGTGTAACAAAGGCATTAATTAAAATTAATTGTCCATAGCTTGTTAATGTTGCAGAAAATTTGCAAAATTTTTAATTTGAGCTATGAGGATGTTCACAAAGAGCATGTGTATCAATGATCATGTTTTTATCATATCTCTTTATCCCTGCAGTTTAATTTTAAAATTCACCCTCACTTATAAATATCTTAGTATTTTGTACACCTTAACGTGTTGATAATTTGTAACGCATTCTACATGGTCGGGTACATTTTATTAGTGTTGAAAGTGCTTTATAAGTGTTTCGATTTATAAATCTATCTGTGTGCTCTTTGCTATGATTTATCTTGTTTTTCGCCCCCCAGTAGCACAGCGGTGTGTCTGCGGATTTACAACGCTAGAATCCTGGTTTCGATACCCGTGGTGGGCAGAGCACAGATAGCCCATTGTGTAGCTTTGTGCTTAACTTCAAACAACAACAAAAAATCTTGTTTTTCATCTGTGCTTGGATTGCATAGAGCATTTGAGCCAGTAATTCCTCACTTATTCAGTGTAAAAACAGCCATATTATATCTATAAAGTGTTTAAAGTGTGAGCACAGAGTGAATATATAAATAAACGTCACGCCCATGCTGACGTCATTATGGTGTCAGGTTAATTAAAAGAGATGAGATTATAAAACTGTGTCACGTGTATGCTGTTATAATGAAAAAACAAAACGATGAGCAATAAAGTCCCAAAAATCTTGCGGATGTTTATGTGCAACAGTGATTATAATCTACGTACATTGTGTTTCCATCCACAACATTTAGTCAGTTTTAAAGTGAAAATGGTATAAAATGATCTTGATTTTAAAACTAATTTTAACAATGATGTTCATTATTTTTATGTAATTAAGTTGTGCCCACTTTTCAAAATATTAGTTATTAATTAATTAGTTGTACACGTTAAAATGCTTTTAAAAAGACAATAACTTTTATTATGAATTAGATTTAACCTGGTAAAGCCTCCACTTTAAACAGAACGTATATAATAGTTCGGTCACTAAGTAACACCGATAATTATAAATTAAAAGTCTTCAAGTACAACACGACAAGCGAATGCTTGGTGTCTGACACTAGTGTATAGGAAATGGCATTTAAAATTAAATAGTATTCATTATTTTCATTTCTCGCAAAAGTGCAGCAATGAATGTGATGGCTGGTCCTTTAAGATAATAGTTAGATACTTAATTTAGGTCACAATTTAAAATAATGGGGGAACAGGTCGTTCAAAACTTTACGCTAGCGCTCCACACTTTAGAGCCGAGTGTGCGTTATAAGAGTGGTGGACAAATCGCACCGTCTGACAAAAATAGCCCAAGAGTTGGCGGTGGGTGGTTTTGACTAGCTGCCTTTCCCTTAGTCTACCACTTGAAGATTAGGGACGGCTAACGCAGATAGCTCTCGTGTATATTTGCACGAAATTCAACTAACAAACAATTCTGCTAACGCTTTACTACACAGCTAAAATAACTATATAAACCAATACATAATCAGACAATATAAACGGACATGGCCCTGAAAAGGAACGTAGTAACAGAAAACAAAAGGACAACCAAAGAGATAGTTCAACAAACAACAATAGTTCAGGAGGGAGGAAGAGGTTTCCAAGACCTAAATCTCGATGCCGACCGAAGCAAGAAGCAATCCTTACTATGGAGACTGTGAACCTATGTTTGCTAAGGTTGGCTCTCGCTAGAGTGCGAAATGTATGTAATTATTAAAGTTTCTTTTGTCCCTCAAACATTTCTGCCAATAGTTGGTTGGAAAAAGAGTCATAAATTACTCCATGCAAATTCCTGCATCCGTATTTTTTATCAATCATCTCTATAAACAGGGGCCCGGCATGGCCAGGTGGTTGGGGCCAAGTAGAACGAACACTTTGAGTGCTTAATCGTGTTATGGTCAAATTTCTATTGAGAATAATATCATATCCTAAACAACTGGTTGTACGGTGTAGTGGATGAGCGTATCTTCAACTTATTTCCTTCCTTGTAAAATATCCGAAATTAAATGTACAATAAATGAAAGAAACCAATGTTTTTAAATATTCGATAAATAAGCAATGAACATGTTTTACACCACGTTGAAATTTCTTCAATGCAAGCTTTCGTCTACTTTACTGTAACTGTCGTTAAGTTAAACTGAATACAAGTT